AGACGAGAAGTAAAGACATAATGTGCTACTGCTTGTGCCTGAAAGATGAGATTTAGGGATGCCTTCCCCTCACCCCCTTCTACATTTTTCTTTAATTTCCAAATTTTCTGTAACAACTATCTTTTAAAATTAATAGGAAATGCATGGTTTCAATATTACCAACTTTGCCCTAGAACAGTGTTTCCCAAAGTGTGGTACGTGTACCCCCAGGGGTACTGAAAAGTTTGGTGGGGGTATGCGTTGCACCGGGGTTTGGTGGGGATAGGCACTGCACCGTGCTTAGCTGCGCCTAATTCTACATTCTCATGAGTACGAGGGGTACTCAGAGTTACAAAAATTATAGAAGGAGTACACATATGTCAAAAGTTTGGGAAACACTGCCCTAGAACATTGAACTCACAGGTGATCCTGTTTTCAATAGAATAAATGTGTAAAAGGAGCATGTTGAAAGGGGCAACTTAAATTTAATCATCCTATATAATAAAAGCCTAATATGCAAATTGTCCCCTCAACTGGGAGTTTGACCAGAGGTTGGGGGTCAGCTGGCCAACCACAGGAAGGGAGGCCCTGGCCAGCAGCCCACAGCTGGCAGCCGCTAGGGTCCCTACCTGTGCACGAATTTCCTGCACTGGACCTCTAGCTTAAACATAAATGATGTTACCAGTACCAAGTCAGACTCATTTATTGCCTGTAGGAAAATGCTCTCCTAGAGAGCCACCCAGAAACAGGCTACAGGGCTGTGTTCAGTATTTGATTATCATTAGTACTTGAGCTTTTTCTCCTTCATACTAAAGACTCATTTTACATGAATTCCTCTGGGGACTTGGGCTGTCAGCCCCTGACCAGAGAATGAACCATTCTGTTCTCAATTCTCTACGCATGGCCAAGCTGTCCCTCATATACTTTCTCACCCTGCATCTGAATATTTTGGAGCTTAAAAACCATCTGGACTTGGGAAGATTGTGTGTGTGTGTGTGTGTGTGTGTTGTTTTTTTAAATAGCTGCTCACCTTTTGCATTGGGGCTAGTTTTGGACCCCCAATTTCTCCCCCTACAAGTTTGTGAACCCACAGCTGCCCCAGAGGAAGCTATGAGCAGGAGCACTGGGGGTGAAGAGGGGAGCGTTGAGCTTTCCTGTTGATACTAACCACTGTGGCACTTTCTTGGAAAGAATCCAGTGGCGATGTCGAAAGCCAAACCACAGACAGCGTATGTAATCCAACTCCCAGACACTTTGGTCATTGCAGTTTAATAACTGTTATTAGTTTCTGATAAACACTTTGGATGACACGTATTATGTTTCCATTGTTTAACTTTTATTATAGAAAAATTCAAACACATTCAGAGTAGAGTGAAAATATAACAATTCCCCATTGTACCCCTCAGCCAGCTCCAGCAGCTGCCCACTCATGGTCCATGTTGTTCTAGCTCTGCTCCCACCCCCTCCCAGCTCCCACCCCTGGGTTGTTTTAAAGCAAATCCCAGATATTATGTTATTTCATGCAAAAACATTTAATACATATCTCTAAAATACAAGCGTTCTTTTGAAAAAGAAAGAGAATCATGTCAGTCATCATTAATAATAAAAAGAAGTTTATATCCTTATTAGCCTCAAATATCCAGTTAGTGTTCAGTTTCCTCAATTGTCTCAAATGCTGTTTTTATCTAATTTTTCCAAATTGGGATCCAAATAAAATCTATACGTTTTCCAAATATCTTCAAAATCCCTCTCCCTCTATTTCTTTTTCCTTTTATTTGTTAAAGAAACTGAGTCATTTTCCTTCTCTGTAGTTGAGAATAAGGTAGTGAAATTCCATATTACTAGGAATACTTTGAAATCATGATGAACTGCTCCACATTAAAATAATACAAGGTTAAAAAAAAAATACAGTGTTCAAGAGAGATTGGTTCCATGATGTGAATTAAAAGTCACCTTGTCCCCGAGGCCCTCCCTGGCCACCCAGTGAACAATCCCACCATCTCCCAAACCCTGGGCACTTTACACCCCCCTTTACTCTTTCACTTTTCCTCCCCTGGCACTGCCTCGGGGCCTCTGTATGAATATATTTTACTTGTGTACTGTCTACCTACCCCCTAGAGTGTAAGCAGCATGAAGGCAAGGGTTTTGTGGGTTCTGTTCTCTGCTGCAGCCCCAACACCTGGGAGGTGCGTAGGAAACATTGAGGCAGCACAGAAACGGGGTGCGGATGGCTGTGGAAAGGAGGTGCCAAGGAAAGTTTCTCCAGACATGCCACCTCTCTGGTTCTGGTGTCACTGGATGCAGAGATCCCTACACAGTTCTGTGAGAAGCTCAGGGGATGAGTACCTCTCTGCCAATACTGACTTAGTCTGTTGTCCCTCTCACCCCATTGCAGGGTGAGGCTCCATCAGCCGCAGGCTGGTTGACCAGATTTGTGAGCAGAGCCTGTGTTTGGGGTGGGAGACCAGTCCTTTCAGACCATCACCGCCCGTCTGAACAGGGTTGGTGGTCGTGCCCAGATTCTCTTGCTTCAAAACGTGTTTTCCCACCTTTCTTGTGGTTGGCCTGCAGTCAGACTGGGAAACCCCGGGTGAGTCGGCACTGTGGCATTAACCAGCGGCTGCCTCAGCCGGTCCCTCCACTGAGCCTTCCCTTTCTCCATGTAAAATGGGACAGTACCCTTTCAGCCCCGCAGGGTGGCTGCGGCTTTCATTGTTGTGAGTTTTTCCTGCTGCCCAGTGATGTTGGGGGGAGAGGGGGTGTCAGCCTGCAGAAGGCAGCACTCTGGCCTCGGGAGAAGTGAGGGTAACAGTGACTGAGCAGACAGAGAGCAGGGAAGGCCCGAGCTAACTGGGGAGGGAGTATGGCTGAATCTTGGGGCCCTCACCTGCTGTGGGGCAGGGCGAGGAGATGCCGGGCTGTTCAGCTGTGTGGAGCTGACTCATCTCTCACCATCCCTTCCCTTCTTGCCACACTGACAGAGGACGTGTTACAGGGATGACTCATTCACGTGGCCATCCCTCCACTGGATATGTGTGCTTTGTCCCATAAGGTGTGGGGCTCCCTGTGAAGGCAGGACATGGCAGTGACCAGCATTCCAGCGCCCCTCCGTGCTCTCTCATTGCCCCTCAGGGGACCACATGGGTGTCTCCCAAAGACAGCATCCTGGTTATTTCTCTGGGTTGGGGACTTGGACTTTTACTGCCGCTGGTACCAGCTAGCGCATTTAGAATGTTTTCTGGGCTCTATGAAGTCCAGAAAGGACCCCTGATTTTGTTGTTGTTGTTGTTTTTTGTTCTCTAGACTTATGTAGCCACGCACTATAGGTGACTACATTTAAATTCAAATCAGATTCAGTTAAATAAAAATTAAACCCAGTTGCTCAATCATACGAGCCATATTTTAAGTGCTAAGTCAGCACATGAGGCTGGTGACTACTGTTACATTATAGAACATGCCCTTCGCAGTGGAACATTCTAGAAGGCATTACTGGAAATCTTTCTGTCCAAGGACTGTGTGGAGGGAACTCCAAGCACATGGGAGAAAGATGAGTGGCAAATAATGGAAAACGAGCCATTGCAGGTTGGACCTCGTGTTGTCTTCTCACAGTAAAACACATCTCCAATGAGTTCTTACTTTGGGGGAAGACTTAAGGTTCTGGGTGTTGAATTTCCATTCCAAGGCTATCCCCAGAGTGCTCTCAGCCATGGAGCCACTCACCACCTTTCAGCACATTGTCAGGGACCCAAGCTGCTCCTCCACCCCCCAGCTTAGCCACCCTACCTCACACTCTGCTGCAACGACTCCACCCTGGGGAGAAGTGAAAGACTGGGAGCTTTTATAGCAACGTGACTTTGGAATTAGTGGGAAAGGACCTTCTTACCACTGTTAGTTTGCCATTTGTAATTCTATGAAAAGAAGAAAAGAGAAACCCTTGGATGAAACAGATGCTTCCTTAGAAAGTCAATGGCATGCTTTTCTGGTCTACCTGTTGGTGTCTGAGTCGAAGAGCCAGACCTCCATTATTTAGGGAGACACTCACACTCATGGGTGAGCGTCTCCTTGAATTTTGCATCCTGAGCATCTGGTTTGTCACTTTCGCTCCGTCCTGCTGCTTCGCTTTGGGCCCATTTACCACTCTCAGGCTCCTGGACTTGCTCACAGCTCACCGAGCACCTGTGTCTGCACCTCTCCCCGCTCTGGAACCCCTCAGGTAGGGACTGGGCCTCTGGCTCTTTGTATACCTGGCTTAGCCTGGAGGACATGTAAGTGGCTAATGGATCAGTGAGCAAATCAGCCTGCCAGCGATCAACTCTCTTGGCTTAGATTTCTCCATGAACATTTCAGAGAACATCGAACATTGTCACCTGCCACGCTCCACATTTCTGCACAGCGCCATTCTCTCAGCCGAGAGTCCCCTCCTCACCATGGCGATGGGTGGGCACTGGTCACTCCACCTGCCCTTCTCCGGAATCCTGTCACTTTCAGAGACGGGCTGAGTTATCTCACTAGAGAGCTGTCTCTCAGAATGGTTCTTCTTCTCTCCTTAAATTGGAAAATCAGTTGAAAATTATGGATAATAATGGTTCCCCTTCTCTCCTTAAAGTGGAAAGTCAGTTTGAAAATTATGGATAAAAATGTATTTTATTCAAATATAGTAAAAAAATGTTTCTATACATTGTTACTATTTCCTCCTGGAATTGGTTTGGGGATAAGTCTTTCCTCTCTCTCTCACCCAAGCTCATGTCATAGAAGGCCTTTTGTACCAGCTTTGCCCTCTCTCTTTCTCAGTTGGAAAATGTTTGCTTGAATGAATACTAGTAAACAAGTTTACAACAACAAAAACCCTGCCTCCTCCAGAGTCCATGTCACATGTCACGCACAGCCAAGCTATCCTAGGAGCACGTGGCTGGGTCTGGGGGCCATGGTTTGGGAGGAATGGGGTGAGGACACAGTCCCTGGGGCTTGCAGGCCCTGTTGTGAACTCCGTGTGACATGCTTCCCCTTTCTGCCTCCCACAGAGCGTGTTGAAGAAGAGGGACCAAGTGCAAGCGGAGTACGAAGCCAAACTGGAAGCCGTGGCTCTGAGAAAGGAGGACCGCCCCAAGGTTAGGGAGCCCCAGGGGAGGGCGGGTACTCAGGCTGCACCCTGAAATCCCTGCTGGAGCCCAGTGAATGGCCAAAGCTTTTGCTGTGCTTTGTTTTATACATTTAAAAACATATGTTTTATATGTTTTTAAATATATTTTTATTGATTTCAGAGAAGAAGGGAGAGGGAGGGAGAGATTGAAGCATCAATGATGAGAGAGAATCATTGACTAGCTGTCTCCTGCACTCCTTCTAATGGCGATGAGCCTGCAACCCAGACATGTGCCCTTGACCAGAAATCAGTCTGCAGGCTGACACTCTATCCACTGAGCCAAACTGGACAGGACATGTGTTATGTATTGTGTTTTTTAAAATGTGTTTTTATTGATTTTCTTAGAGAGGAAGGGAGAGACAGAAACATAGATGAGACAGAAACATCAATTAGCTGTCTCCTGCATGCCCCTCCCACGGGGATCGAGCCTGCAACAGGGCATGTGCCCTGACCAGGAATTGAACCGGCAGCCTCTTGGTTCTTGGGTTGATGCTCAACCGCTGAGCTACACCAACCAGGCTGCTTTGTGTGGTTTTGAGCTTCACTCTCTAGAGTACGGGTGTCGAACTCAATCAGAGAAGGGGCCAAAATCTAAAATCCAGCCTAAATCGCAGGCCGAATGGTTTACTGAACAGTCATAAACTGTCATTGTGATGGAAACGCAGCGGAGTGCAGTGATGACAGCGCGGTGCAGGCCACATTGCAAGGCCTGGCGGGACGGATTTGGCCCGCGGGCCTTGTGTTTGACACATGTGCTCTAGAGCTCCTGTTGGTGAGATGAAAGTTGAGATACCAGAAATTGGGTCAGGGCTGACTTTACCCCAGGTCTCCGTGAGTTCTGCTGTAAGTAAGTTATAGAGGGAGTAAGATTGTTCGCAGGCCCCTCGCAGGGATGAGGGAAGGAGAGGAACAATGGCGAGTTTTCCTGGGGATGGGTCCAGGTCTGAGAAGACCTGAGAGGGGCTAGGGCTTCCTGTTTTGAAGTGAAATCTTGAAAAGTTGCTCTGAAGACTGAGGAAGTTGATTTTTGTGAAGCCGCAACTAGTAGCAAAATCTGGCCACTTTCCCATCACCCAGAAGGAAATGGCCTCGTGGGCCTCTGTGATCTTCACTGCGAATTTCACACGGGAGTGGCTGTCCGCAGGACGAAGGAGGGAGCCTGTGGCCCCGCTGCGGGGAGGCCTCTGCAGTGAGGGAAAACGTTAGTGTCTGAGAACGTAAAGTTTTGCTCTGTGTTTAGGTTGGGGAAACTCAGCAGACTCTGCAGTGGTTTGTTCTCAGGCAGATGGAGCGTGGAGCTTTGGATGGCGTATACTTGGCTTTCCTCATCTTAATTTTTAATTTGGAGAAATTACGGGTTCTTAGTCGTGGCCGCTGCCTTGGGCTGGATCTGTCAGAACCACAGGCATGTGTGAACCTGCGAATCTGACCCTCCTTACAAGCCTAGGTCGATACCAAAGCTACTGCTGGAAACAAAGAGGGGCGGGAATTGCATTTAAAATGGGGCTGGAAGCACACCTACCCTAATGTGATCATGAGGGCAGGCCACAGAGAAAACGTGCAGTTTATTCTGCATTTGACTTTTCCATGCTAATATTGTCAAGTGTGGCCAGTTTAAAAAAGAACAAAGAAAGGATGCCAAGAGAGAAGGCTTTATAAAAACCTCACATTTGTTGCCAAAACCGGTTTGGCTCAATGGATAGAGCGTCGGCTTGGGGGCTGAAAGGTCCTGGGTTCAATCCCGGTCAAGGGCATGTATCTTGGTTGTGGGCATATCGATGACTCTCTCTCATTTATGTTTCTAACTCTCTATCTCTCTCCCTTCCTCTCTGTACAAAATCAATCAAAATAAAAAAATAAATTAAAAAAAGAAAGCATCAGCTTTCAGGCTGAGTTAAAAAAACAAACAAACAAACAAAAAAACCCCCCTCACATTTGTCTTCTAAAAGTAAAAGGGAGCAGGGGGTGCTCTTTTAGGCCCTGACCCATTGGTGGCCTTGAATTGGGTATTGCCAGGTGTCGGAGCTTTGGGAATGGTCGTGTCAGTGTGGAGGTGAGACGGAGTGACCCCGGGAAGTGGGGTGTGCGCAGAAAACAGGAAGGACTGAGCTGTTGCTTCTCAGGTTTAGCACAAGGAGTGAGAACTTGGGGCCACTTGGACAGACCTCACCAAGGCAGTGGACAAAACTCTTAGGAGTACAGAATGGTCAACCTTCTGGGTGAGCGCAGATGTGCCAGGAGCAAGAACTCCAGCTCTGAGGTGGCAGATGGGAGTGAGGAGACGCTGGTCTGGAGCTTCTGCAAACCTGGTAGTTAGTTAAGTGAGTGTCCTTGTTTCCAGGCACTTCTGCCAAGTGAGGACAGACGGGCCTGAGGTTTCCCAGCTCTCCCCGCAGCAGCCTTGATCTCAGCCTGGGTTCGAAAGCCAGAATAATGAGGCAGAGGTCACCTCAGCCAGAGAAGGCAGGCTCTGTCACCTCCCTTATCTTATGTAATTCCTGCCTCAACCCCTGTGGGTGTGGTTGTTCTCATCTTACAGATGAAGAGCCAGGACTCAGGGGAATTACATACATAGCGCATGTGCCAAAGCTAATAAGTGGTGGAGCAGGAATTGGCCCTCAGATGTGTCTTCCTCCAGAGTTGGAGCCCTTTATTCCTACGGCTCGGGCTCCCAGCAGTGTTTGGGGAGGAGGGTCCTGGCTTTTGTAAGCATGTACAGATGAGTGCTAGAGGGACTGAGGGAGAGAAAGAACGTGGACCTTCTCCTGAGTCTTCCGTCTCTGTGTCTGCTCACTCCTTTCAGCCATGATCAGGTGGTCTGAGGCTCTTCTGTTCTCAGTGTATCTGCTCTTGACTCACTTGTGCCCTTTCTTTGCTCTCCTCACCTGCCATTCTCTGAAGTTTGTTTCTTTTTCTCCTTTAATTAAAAAAAAAAAAAAAGCCATATCCGTTTTTTGGCTCAGTGGTTAGAGCATTGACCTGCAGACTGAAGGGTCCCGGGTTTGATTCCTGTCAAGGGCACATGTCCAAGTTGTAGGCTTGATCCCCATGGGGGGTGTGCAGGAAGCAGCTGATCAATGATTCTCTCTCATCATTGATATTTGTATCTCTCTCTCCCTCTTCCTTTCCCTTCCTCTATGAAATCAATCTGTTTATATGTATGTATATAGCTCTGCCCGGCCTTTCACCTGGCAGCATGCGGCTGAGAAGATTCCCATCTCGAATTGCTTCTGACATTGGTCCTGGCACCTGTCCCATGGCAGCCATGTGTCCCCTCTCCCCCAGGTTTTGGGATCATGTTTGCTTTATACAACCTCTGGGGACTTTTCAATCTACCGTCATCGTGGGAGCAGACAATATGACATCTGCAGCCTTCCTCCAAGAAGGACACTGGGTAGGGATTTATATCAGGGCCTAGAAATCCAGGTACATGGAAAGGACACAGTCATACATTTAAAAGTGAATGTTGTGTGAACTTACATTACCACCTGCTTTCCAACACACACAAATGCTTTAGCCCCACATGACCCTTCTCTCATCACTTCAATAACCCATATTCTGTAGTGGATGTTCTCATGAGAGATAAGGAACCTGATAATAAAAAGCAGTCTTGTTCTCTATTTAGAAGTTTTTCTTGCCTTTTGAGGTCTAATCTGGTGATTTTTTTTTCTTCTTGGTGTCTTGGGATAAGCAGCGCCCAATCGTTAGCATTGGATATTGCCACCTCAACATCCTTCAGACACAAGATAGCACAACTCTAACAATACCTCAGTCAGAAAATTAAAACATTGCGATAAAAAGGAATGCTGGATGTTTCTGGTCAGTGAACTGATTGTCACAGAAACACTGTCCTAAAAGAAACAAAAGAGAGAAGAATGTGATCCTGAGCATCTGATGCCAGCGGTCCTCCTCTTGATGAAGTTGGAAAACGTCAGGAGCTAGTCACTTCAGGCTGCTCACCCCAGTTCCTCTTAATCTCGTCTCTTTAAACCCTCCTCTTCCCCCTCTTCTAACCCCTCTATCCATCTTTGTGTTCTAGGGCTCTGTTCTCTCTGACTGACGTCCTGCTTCTGTGCCCATCTTTCCTAGTACCTTTGCTGGTTCCTTTATTATTCCTATAAATGTAGGCTTCTCCATGAGTTCTACCCATCGACCCTCCCTTCCTCAGCCTCCTCTTCTATTCCCTCATATATTAAAAATTTTAAATCATGGCAAAATACACATAAGATTTATCATCTTAACCATTTTTAAGAGCACAGTTCAAATGTCTTAAGTAAATTCACATTGCTGTGCAACCAATCTCTAGAACTCTTCTCATCTTCCAGACTGGAAATTCTTCCCCCACTAAACCACAACTCTGCATGTTCCTCTGTCCTCTGGTCCCTGGAAACCACCATTCTACTTTCTGGCCCTATGAATTTGACTGCTCTAAGGTACCTCATATAAATCAGACAGTATATTTGTTCTTTTGTGATTGCTTATTTCATATAACATAATGTCCTTAAGGTTCATTCATGTTGTAGCATGTGTCAAAATGTCCTTCCTTGCCCTGGCCTGCAGCCCAGTTGGTTGGAGTGTCGTCCTGTACATCAAAAGATTTCTGGTTCAATTCCCGGTCAGGACATATACCTAGCTTGCGGTTGGGTGTGTATGGGAGGCAACCATTGATGTTTCTCTCTTATATTCATATTTTTCTCTCTCTCCTTACCTCTCTCTCTAAAATCAATAAACATATCCTCGAGTAAGGATAAAAACATTTTTTTCCTTCTTAAGGCTGAATAATATTCCATTGTATGTACACACCACATTCTGCTTATTCACTCATCTATGGATGGGCACTTGAGATGCTTCCACCTTTTGGCTATTGTGAATAATGTTGCTATGAACGTGGGTGTTCAATATATATCTTTGAGACCCTTTCAGTTTTTGTTTTTTTTTGGTATATACCCATAAGTAGAATTATTGTATCATATTATAATTATTTTTTGTTGTTGTTGAGGAACTGTCACACTGTTTTCCATGATTGTGCCATTTTTCATTCCCACTAACAGTGCCCAAAGGCTCCAATATCTATATTCTTGACAACACTTTTTATTTTCTGTGTGTGTGTGTGTGTGTGTGTGTGTGTGTTTTAAATAATAACTATGCTAATGGGTGTGAAGTGGTCTCGTGTTTTTGATTTGCATTTTCCTAGTGATTAGTGATGTAGAAGATTGTTTCATGTGCTTATTAGCCATTATGTGCCTTCTTTGGAGAAATGTCTGTTCAAGTCCTTTGCTCTTTTTAAAATCAGGTTATTGTTGTTGTTAAGTTGTTTCAGCCCCCTCTTCTGGAGGGCAGGACTCAGTCTTCCTGTGGCTGCAGCTACTGCCTTTATCTGGTGTGTGATCCTGTCCTTTATCCTGAGCCCTACAATGGACTATTGCTACCCTAGTCACCCAGACTAGAAAGAAACTTCAGGATCTTTTCTGACTTCCTGTATCTTATATCTCACGTGCAGTTGTCTGCCAAGTCTGTCAGTTCTGTCTGCACCGGGTTGGTCTAAACTATCCCCTCCCTCCTGGACTTAAAGCCACTGCCCTGGTTCCAGGGTGCCAAGGATGATCTATAACAGTAGAGTTTGGTGTTGACTCATCTCTAATCTCTGGAGAAATCTTGGGTTGGGTAGCAAGGGTGAAGAATGACATGGAGTTTGAAAGACTATATTTGCTTATATTATAATAGTTTATATTTGGAAAACAAAAAAAGTACATTTTTTTTGTAAGACATGGAATACAGCTCAATAAAATATTCTGACCTAAGGAACTATGCAAATGAGAGATTATCTTCTAGGAACTTCAATTATAATGTTGATATTGACCAGAGTAAACAAACATTTATTGAGTGTTTAATATATGCCAGGCACCAATTGTTTTATACATTCTATCTCATTTAACCTCATAACAACCTTGTAAGGTGGTGAGTATTATCCAGAAAAAGAAGTTGAGGCATAGAGAAGCCCAAAGTTGCCCATCTAACAAGTGGTAGATGTCGTATTTGACTCTGGAAATTTGGCCCCATAACTGACAATACAGTTGGAAGAAGCACAAGGCTTTCTATTTTCAAAAAAAAGAGACATGAGGGAAATGGACCCCAGAAAACCTGACCTTCAAGAAGAGCCCCAGGCTTATGCCCTGCCCCCACCAATCTCACCAGCTGGGGTTCTATCTCTGTGCCTTTGTGGGCACTGTGGCCTGTGAGCTGTTCCAAGGTAGGTCTAGGTGCTGTCTCACTTCTGTCATTTGTACTGCCTGTCACTCTAGAGTGCCCTCTCCCTAATCGTCACACTTCTCTGAAGAGTGGCCTCAGTGGAATATCTTCAAGGAAGCCTGATCCCTCATCCCAGTTGGACTCGCTTTCTAGTTCCGCCTTACATTTTGCTCATCACAGGGCTCTGAGTGCAGAGAGAGCATCTTCCCAGGTAGATTGTAGGCAACTTGAGACAAGTTTGCCTGTAGAGACCTAAGCACTTTCATATTCCTCACTGCCAACTGGGGAGTATGTTATGAGAATGATGAACTAAAAATACTTCCCAAAGCCAGGCTGGGGCGATCATAAACTCCAGAGCTGCAGTCCTAGCTCTTGACTTTTTGTGGGTCAATTAGAGCTTCCACCCCCATGAGTAGCTCCCCTTTGCTGTGAAGGAACTCCTCTGAGTCAGAGAGCTGAGCCTTCCTCTTCTCCCTGTGCCCGCTGAGGTTCTCTTTTCAGAGCTTTACTTTTCCTCTTCGCTGAAGTAGTTTTGCTAAGCCAACAGGAAGTTGCTTCCATGCACTCACTCACCAACATGCTAAAATGAGCAGTGCCCACGAGAGAAATAAGGGAAGTGGACTGTGCCTGCAGGGAGCTGAGGCCTGGCCAGAGAGCCTGGCCCCCGGGGTGTCCATGGGGCCGGTTGACTGGACATTTATGGGGGAATGGCTCTGGTGCAGCTAAGTCAGGACACTCTTGTTTTGTTTCAGTTTCCCCTGAGGTGGCAAACAATAATGGGTGAGCCCGCAGGGAAAGACAAGGGTGACTTCAGGCATGGCACCAGAAGAAAAAGTCAAGTTTGTTTGTAATTCCAGAAGCTTCCGTGCTTTGAGGAAGGCTCCTTTTCCCCTCTAAAGAGCAAAGTTCTTTCCTTTCGAGTTGCCCAGGATGCCTTGCTGTCTCTTTCTCTCCAACTCTTCCTTGTCTCACCCAGGTTTCGTTTCCATGCCGCACACTCTCAGATCCCCTCACCTAAGGCTGCTTTCCTTTCCCTGCTCCTGTGTGCTGCAGCCATCTCCAAGCGGTCTGAGTGGCAGATGGCCAGTGCCCTGCACACTTGTAGAAGCCCTGAAGGTGCCCAGCTCCCTCAGGATTGGCCTCATCATTATTGCTGTTTCTGGGTTGGCTCCTTGCCCGTAAGGCCTGAGTATAAAAATCCCTTGGTTGGTAAAGATTGACCCTGAAGATGACCCATAGCTTGGAGACATTGGGGTTCACAGGACCCGGCACACAAAATGTATAAGGTCTTATTTGTTGTCAGGAAGCTTTTGGCAGGTGGGCGTGGATACAACTTTGGGCACCCTGAACCCCTGACCACCATCAGGGCCCAGTGGAGCTGTTGAGTTAGGAGAGATTCTAGCTTTGTGTTTTGGCAAGCAGTGTAATAATTTCCTATTACCTTTTCATAATATTGGATTCTCTGTCTAGATATGTAGGATGGACAAAACTCACCAAAGCAAAAATAAAAGTTGTAAAATTCAGGTTTTGTTCCATTTTGAGAAAGTCTTCTTTTAGAAAAACTTGAATTTGTACTTCATATTTGTTTGACATGCATGCATAATTTTTCTCTTACTTCCCCAGAATTGCCTAACTTTAACTTTTTTTTGTAATCTATTATCTTGGGGAGCGTAGACAAGTCTCCAGATTATATGTAATGTGGGTTTCAAAAGAGGGAGCTGGCCAATAGTAATATTATTGCAATTAATTCTCTGATTAATGAGGATAGACATTGTCAAGCATGAGAACTAATGGAAAGTTCACTTGATATGGGAGAACCTTTTCTAGTTCCATTATTGGACATGGAAAACTATCAGTGCAATACCAAATCCTGCTAGCTATTTGCGATTTTTACACACATTTTTACATTTTGTTAAAAGGGAACCAATGATATATTGCTCTAATTACAGTGTTTCTTCTTTCTGTTTGTAAATGGGGTGGGTGTTTTGGGTCAGGGTGGTCTTTCAGAGTTCCTTCTTAGACCTGAAACAGTGGGCCCTGCTTCACGTAAATGCCTCCAGAGGAGAGAGTGTGTTTATGGCATTTTAATGTAGTGATTTGGCCCTTTACAAATGTGTGAGCAGAGCAGTTTGGGGCCTGAGAAACCAGTTACACCCACTTCTGCATCGCCCGTCAGGTGCCCTCAGACGTTGAGAAATGCCAGGACCGGATGGAGTGCTTCAATGCTGACCTGAAAGCCGACATGGAGAGGTGGCAGAACAACAAGAGGCAGGACTTCCGGCAGCTGCTCATGGGAATGGCTGACAAGAACATCCAATATTATGAGAAGGTAAGGGGCACGCCGAAGGACCACAGCCCTCTCATTGAGGAAGTATTTCCCTAGGCAGAGCCTTTCTGGAGGGCCTGTCAAACCCAGAATTAGGGATCTTGCCAGTTCCAGCTCCTTCCCTATTTTACTTTATTCTTAGCAACCCCTGCGTGTCTGTGCCCAGCTGTGCATGGTGTGGTGCTGATTTTGGGAGCAGAACCCCCACCGGGTTTCAGTTGCAGTCATGGCCGATGGAAGTGGTTTTCTCTTCCGTGCCCTTGGGCCCCGGCAGCTCCACGCTTCCCAGAATCAGTCAGGCCTTCAGCGCAGGGAAGCCCCCAGTCAGTGGAGGTTTGGGGCTACATTAATGTGGTTTGGGGGTTATTTTAATGGAGGCTTTGCGGTTACAGCTTAAAGGAATCACCTGCCGTGGTTTTATCTCTAGGGGTTCCTCACTTCCATTGTGCCATGGATCCTTTGGTCATTTGCTGAAGCCTGTAGACCCCTTATCAAAATACTGTTTTATTTTGTTTTAAAATAGACTTTAAATACCTTTAAAAAAAGGTATGTAGAATTACAAGGAAATACAATTAAAAACAGCTTTTTTCATGAATTCCCTTCTATCACAAATAGGGTCACTGTCTTGAGATCTCATCTTGGCTCCTACATACATTTAACAAATGCTTTCCGTGTATATGCTGTGTGCAGGGGTGGGTGGCACATTAATAAGCAAAACAGCAGGACTCCTGCCATTAAGGAGCCCTCAGTCTGGTGGAGGATATGCATTGGTACAATAATTCCACCACTGCAGAGTGAGGGAAAGAACAGGAAAATAGGAGAAAGTACTGGGGGCATAATTCAGACTAGGGACAGGAAGAGGCAAGTGGAGTGGGCAGGAAAGGCCAAACTGAGGAAAACTGCATTTAATCTGATTCTCAGAGACAAGGACTTGGGGAGTAAGTATTCCAGGCAAAGGGAACAACATGTGCAACATATGCAAGGTCGGAAAAAGCTTAATCATTGGAAGATTAAAAGGAAAATTGGTGTAACCTTGGATCTATCCCTGACATAGAAGGATCCTTAAGGAAGAGAGCCTTGGACCCCGCCCTGGTCTCTGGTTTTGAAAGTAAGCTCAGTGTCTGGCTTCGTCTCCAACCTCAGAGTCACCAAGAAAGAGTAGCGGGGAGTGCTTTCCCTGCTCTTGACCTAAGGATGCCTCTTTCCTCCCAACTCCTCTGAATCCATCCCCAAATAACTCGGCACAAATTCCTGCTTCTAAGAAAGGCCTTGTGTGATTCTCCTGCCTGTCCCTCTTTGCAAAAGACTTGTCAAAGGGAAAATCAGTTCTGCTGAGTAGGGTGGTCTTAGAGGAGCGTGCCCAAGTGGTTCGTCGGACCTGGGGTGCAGGGGGATTGGTATAGTCAGAAGAACTCTTTTTTTTTTTTTAACTTTTTAAAAAAATATATTTTATTGATTTTGTACAGAGAGGAAGGGAGAGAGATAGAGAGCTAGAAACATGGATGAGAGAGAGTCATCGATCAGCTGCCTCTTGCACACCCCCTACTGGGGATATGCCCGCAACTAAGGTACATGCCCTTGACCGGAATTGAACCCGGGTCCCTTCAGTCCCCAAGCCGACGCTCTATCCATTGAGCCAAACCGGTCTTGGCCAGAAGAACTCTTTTAAAAAATTTAATAAATCTTTATTGTTCAGATTATTACAATTGTTCCTCTTTTTTCCCCCCATACCTCCCCACCACCCGTTTTCCAACCCACACTCTGCCCTTACCCCACTACTGTTCCCATCCATAGGTGTATGATTTTTGTCCAGTCTCTTTTTGCACCCTCAAATCCCTTCCCCCCCACCCCGAGAATTGTCCGTCCACTCCCTTTCTATGCCCCTGATACTATTATATGCACCAGTTTATTCTGCTCATCAGATTTCTTATTCACTTGTTTTTAGATTCATTTGTTGATAGATATGTATTTGTTGTTCATAATTTTTATCTTTACCTTTTTCTTCTTCTCTCCTTCTTAATGAATAACTTTCAACATTTCATATAATACTGCTTTGGTGGTGATAAACTCCGTTAGCTTTTTCTTATCTGTAAAGCTCTTTATCTGACCTTCCATTCTGAATGATAATTTTGCTGGGTAGAGTAATCTTGGTTGTAGGTTCTTGCTATTCATCACTTTGAATATTTCTTGCCACTCCTGTCTGGCCTGCATTGTTTCTGTGAAGAAATCTGCTGATAGTCGTATGGGTGCTTCCTTGTAGATAAACTAACTGTTTTTCTCTTGCTGCTTTTAATATTCTCTCTTTGTCTTTTGCTCTTGGAAATTTAATTATGATGTGTCTTGGTGTGGTCCTCTTTGGATTCCTTTTGTCTGGGGTTCTCTGCACTTCCTGGACTTGTAAGTTTATTTCTTTCATCAGGTGGGGTAAGTTTTCAGTCATTATTTTTTCAAATAGGTTTTCAATATCTTGCTCTCTCTCTTCCTCTGAGACCCCCATAATTCAGATTTTGGTACACTTGAAGTTGTCTCAGAGGCTCCTTACATTACCTTCATATTTTTAAATTCTTTTTGCTTTTTGCTTTTCCAGTTGGGTGTTTTTTTTGCTTCTTTGTATTTCAAATCTTTGACTTGATTCTTGAGATCCTCTTGTCTGCTGTTAGATCTCTGTATATTATTTTTTATTTTAGTCAGTGTATGCTTAATTCCTAGTTGGTCCTTTTTCATATCCTCGAAGGTCTCACTAAATGTATTAGCCTTTTCTAGAAAATTCTTGAAAAACCTTATAACCATGGTTTTCAACTGTATATCCAATTATTTGCTTTTCTCCATTTCTTTCATTTGTGATCTGTTTATTTGTCTCTGCATTTTGGCTGCTTTCCTGAGTTGATAGAGTGGCTTTGTTTGCTAGGTGTCCTATAGGGACCAGTGGCTCAGCCTTCCCAGGTCCTCTGTGAGCTGTATGCACAGTCTTGGTGCACTCCTCTGTGGGCTGTGTGCACAGTCTTGTTGTAGTTAAGTCTTGATTGTTGTTGGAATCACTAGGAGGAATTGACCTCTACGCCAGTTGGCTGTGAGAATCAGCTGTGTCTACACTGGGAGAACTTCTGTGCTGGAGACACCCTTATGAGACAAGACTCAAAAAGCCTCTGTGCTCAGCTTGGATGGGGAGGAGTCTCAGGGCTGAGCAGACAATCTTGGCTTCCTGTCAGCCCTTCCCTAAGAGGCCCCTGGGTCTCAGAGTTACTCAGTAATCGCTGCAAGCACCTCTGAGAGAAAGCGCTCTTGAGTTTTGCCCACTGCCAGACAGTCCAGTTTCTCCCCATATGAGTCTGGGTCCCCAGGGTCTCACCCAGAACTGGAGTTCAGCACAGCCAGGAGCTTTTGTTTCCCTCCCAATTGAGAAAGCCAGCGGCATACTCAGTTGCCTGCCCTCTTTAAGCGCGTGTCTCCATACCTCTACCTTCATAGCTCCTCTGAGTCTCAGTGTGCTTTTCTCTTTCCTTCTAGTAATAGAATTTCCACTCAGCCAGCCTTCCTGTGGTTCTGAATGATGTCTGTTTTGTCTTTTAGTTGTAGTTTTGAAATTGTTATGTAAGGCGGCAGTTTAGGTATTTACCTATGCCGCCATCTTGGTTTCCCTCCCAGAAGAACTCTTGTTTTGGAGTCATGAGCTCTGCCATTTACTAGCAGTGTGTCTTGGGCAAGTTACTTAACCTCCTGGGTTTCATTATCCTCATCTATGAAGTGTGTGTGTGTGTGTGTGTGTGTGTGTGTGTGTGTGTGTTATGAGGTCTACTGATAGTGAATGTAAAATACATGGCAGTGTTTGGACACGATGAAACAATAAATACAGAGTTCCCTCCCACCATTGTCCTAGTTGGGAGCTCCTGGAGCCACCATACAAGCAAAAGTGAGGCTGGTGAGGAAGAGCGGGTTTCCACCCCCTCGGAGCCAGGTGGCTGACTCATTCCATTGTGACTTACAGCCTTATGCAGGCACCACCCATACCTGGAGCCATGTCCCCATCCTGGCTGAGAACCTAGGGCCTCATCAAGGGTTTGCAGCCTGGTCTCTTCTCTGCTTTTTGAAGGGAAAAAATTTCTTTCAGTGACTCCATTTCCACTCACCGGATGTGAGCATTAAGAATGGACAGTGCATTGCAACCTTGTACAGATGCTGTGTATCTTTCATAGAAATGGGGGTGAAATATTCAAAACCAGCACCTGTTACCTCCTCCCTTGCTCATAGTTATGGATAATGCATGTGGGCATCATTAGACAAGGTCACCCAGCAGGATCGGCAGGATTAGAGCAGAACTAAGAAGCTGACCCCGAAATCTGAAACCCGATGCTGATACTCCTTGCCCCGTGTTGTTCTTTCAGTGCCTCATGGCGTGGGAGTCGATTATTCCACTTCTACAGGAGAAGCAAGAGGCCAAATGAGCTCCTTCTGGGGACGGAGGCTCTTCTACCTACACAGGGCACACACGCCATCCCGGAATGTCCCTGCTGTGCCAGAGAGCAGGCACAGCAAGCAACCACAGAAACATCTCTCATGTATTTCTTTCCTTTCCCCCACCTGCCTTTGTCTGACAGTTGTTTTCACTTAGTATTTATTCCCTGGCGGAGGCGTAAGGCTATCATCATCTCTCAGCAAAAGCCGCAGACCTCCGTGCTGTGAAGGAACCTATGACACGGAACACTACGAAGATTCGAAAGTGAGGGACCAGACATCCTCAGTTGACATTCTGACACCTTGTCACAGTTTCCTGTTCTGGGACAGCGGAGCTGCATGTTGCGGAAGAGAACCCGGGCCCCGCTTTTCAGGGATGCGAAGAAGGTACAAACAGGAGGCCATTCTTGCTTCCCATGGACACACAAGCTCTGGACTGACCTCTGTGGGCAGCGACATGTTCCAGCCTGGCAGGAGGTGTGGGCACCTCCACGGAAGGTCCTTAATGTACAGTGGCCTCGTGATGAGTGGTGCCCGTTTGATGGTTTCTGGTTCCCCTGGGGCCGTTTAACTCAGTGTCTACATGCACCTGAACTAGAGCCAGCCAGCCAGCGTCCTTGTCCTTACGCGATGCCTCAGGGAGCTGGAGGACCGGGCTCCCCAAACTTGTTTCTGACACTAGAAATGCGGAAGATTGGAAACTGTTTTTGTGTAAAATGGAAAAAAAAGGTGCATTTTTCTCTGTGACGTCCTTCCATGTTGTTGTTTTGTTTGTGAAATGTCATCCAAGTAGAGAGTAGGCCTGTGGGGGAGTAGGTATAGCCTCGAAGTAGCTTCCCCTGTTGTTGAGTTCATGGGGCAGATACCAAGCCCCGCCTCCCACGTCTGCTTTGTGCAATTGCCTTCACCTCACCAAAAAGTCCTCGTTTAATGTTTCCTATTATGTCCACCGAGTGCTCGGGCAACGTGTTGGCGAGAGGCTGGTGTGTGGTTGTAACACAGTGGAGATTCTGCAAACTCAGTGTGAGTGTCCTATAGGAAGTGCTTTAACCCCTACTTTTTCCGAGCAGGAGGAAAGTCAGTCCCCGGTCGAACCTGCACTATGACTCCAGCGGCAGCAGACTCTGCTTCTGGTTGAGCTAAGGTCAGTTTATAGCCACGTTCCTGGGGCCTGCTGGCTGCATCTAGTCTTTATTCCAAACCGTTACCAGGTTTACTTTTAAAATCAATATCAAACAAGCAGGTGCGGGGTTGGGAAAAGATCTTCCAACTAGGTTTTTTCTTCTCCTGAAAGGAAGCGACATGTCACGTTTGTGTTCTTTCTTCTGTGGCTCATCCATATAAAACTATAAATCTGAGCCTCAAATACGCGGTAGTTTTCTCTTTTCTTAATGAAGCAGCTGTGCGGAGACAGCGCTGCCCGTGGGAGGTGACCTGCAGATGCCGCCAGCCAGCGCGCAGCACGTGGAAGTCACTCCCCTCCTGACGGCAGAGCTGACCTGGTGTCAGCCACGCTGTGATGCTGTCGAGGCAGTTGGTTCTGTTTCATCATGTTTGAACAAGTCGCGGTTTAAATTTTAATTTTTATATCAATGGGTACTTCACTGCACTGTTAGGCCCTGTTTGTGCTATGCTCAAATCCTTTGATGTGAATTTTCAGTTTGGTACGATTGGAAATGATTCATTGAAGTAGATGGATAAGAACAGTCCATCTACCCTGAGGGGTGATTCAGTGCTACATTCTACCTCTAAACCATCACGTTGATGTGGGCATGGGTGCCCGGGTCCAGCCTGACCGCTTGCTGGTAGAATCAGGGTGGGTTGATGGCTCTCTGTTGGTATTTGATAGAAGACACTAGACTGGCCCAGCAGAGAACACTCATCTTTGGGAATGTGTGAAGCCTTGCCTTATGGAATGTGTGCTTTTAAAATATTGCCCAGTGTAATGAATACTCAGAACGATGGCAGGAGTTAACAGGAAAACTAGACGGTCTTCTGCTAGGTTCACCAGTGGGACATTTGGGGAAGGGAGTAGGGTCTGCAGTCATCTCTGAACATTTCTGGAGGTGAAAGACTAGCTCTGAAAGGGTTGGGCATCTTGGGGTTTTGTCTTCCCCTCTTTGGCCCCCATGTGATGTTCTTGTGCTGCAAGACACCAACAAAAGCTGAAACACGGCAGACTGCCTTCTATCTACTGGTAGCAGATCTGGGGAAAGCTGTGTCTAGTACAGGCTTCCTTGGAGAATGGCCTAGGCTGGCATCTTAAGGTGAGGAGGCAGGGCCAGAAGGAACGGGACAGTAGGCAGTGAGGGAGGCTCTCCAGTCCTCCCAGGGCTCCCCTGAGGGTCAGCAGGCCCAATCCATCACCTCTTCATCTCGGTCAGCACAAAGGTGGTTGATCCCCTAGGAGAGATGTGTGATCCAGAGACTTCTGTGCCAAAGACTGCCTCATCGAGGCTTCGTCACCCCATCCTCCTCGTCTCCACAAAGCCGTGGTGCTGAGAGCACCGCCTCCTATCTTGTATTTATTTTCCAGGAGATTTTTGCTTGCAGCTGCGCCTTACCTCGGGCGGGCAGACATGGGCAGGTGGTGAGGCTTGAAAGCACAGGGCAGTGGGATGCATAGTCATCCCGTCCGCTGCCCTCAGGTCTGGGATACAACAGGTTTCATTTATCAGATCAAACAAAAATCCAGGCCAAGGCAGAAGAGAGGGTTCCTAGAAACTGAGCGGGTTTTGGAGAGCAGGTGGTGCTGAAGATAAGGTGGCAGCTGATGCGGACATTGCTCTTCCTTATCATGAGCTGGGCCTACAAGAAGATCCTAGGCTACTCTGCAAGGAACCACTGCCCCTGATGGAGGAGGGGCTTTCTCCTGCAGTAAGGCTTAATGATGATTCCCGGTGAGCTCAGATAAGTGCGATTTGGGAGGCGATTGATTGGCTTGTATTTCACTGCGCGGCTCCTGGAACCCACCAGACACCTTTCTTTAGTTGAACTAACACAACCCGGCACCACTCTGGGATCCTGGGGAATGTACCATAAGCTTGTCTTCATGCCAAATTTCAGCCACCCCGGAGCGTGGTCTGCATGTTGTTGATGAGCATTTTCTCAGTCGCCGTCCATGCACACTTGCTGCTCATTTCCTGGGAGGCCACCTTTGGTGACGGAACCACCGGAAGCTCTGCTTTAGAGGGGGGTGTGATGGCCCCGCAGCAGTCAGCCAAGTGGAGTTTCTCTCTCGGACGGCATCAGTCCAAGAAACCCAGAGTTTGTGTGACTTGGCCCTGAGACTGGGAGCATTGAAACCGTGGGCACCAGTGGCTCTTTTGATACCATTCATGGGATTGCAGAGCAGTCGTTCTCTGTACTGTGTCCTGACGGGTGAGACGGGAGGGACAGCGAGGTCCAGAGCCACCTCCTGGGTCTATGTTGGCCTCATCTGTTTGAGTCTTGGGATGGGTCAGAGCTGGGCTCCGCTCTGGCTGCGCTAAAAGGTGCTTCTGCTGAGCAAATGGGCTGCCTGTGGTCAGGGCGGGCGTCCCATGCTGGACCCCGCCTTCCTAGACGCCTACTCTAAAGGCCTGTGGAAACTGGTTACTCTAATTATGAGGCTGGGGTAACACCGCTTTGGTCATCTCCGTTGGGAACAGGGGTTTGCCTCTTACTTTCAAAAGTCCTCAGGACGACTAAACCAGAAACCCGGTTTTTGGTCAATCTAGCCAGTAGGTGGTTAGCTTTCTGTCTGAGGGATGTCTGGTCTTCCCCATAGCTGCACGGATTAGAGCAGGCACAGGGCTGGCTACATTAGAAAAGGTGGGGAGGGACTTTGTTACAGGGGGTTTGACTGTTCTTTCTTAATCGTATGTATTTGAAATGCTTTCTGAGTACGGCTGTCGGATACCTTCTGTTTGGCAGAAAAACACGTTATCCAAATAGTTTTTACTACTATACTATAGAGAGCCTGTAAATAAGGGCTTGGAAAAAAATAACTTTAACAAACCAGTAAGATTCTGTGTCTCATGCAAAAACATTCTGTGTACTTAGCACTTGAAAATAAACCAATCCAGACTTTTTAAAACGCCCACATACTGTTAAAAGCCTGACTCTACTTTTTGAGAATTTGTCATCACCTGTTAAAATGCCTTATTCTTCAATGGGTATTTTTTAGATTCTGGATTTTTAAACAAAGAATTTTTTAGAAATGTAATTAGCTGTTCAGCTTAAATACAAGAAGTCTAACATAGTCTGTCCTCGGTCCTCTTAAAGAAACAAATAAGAAAGTAGGGTTCATAATTAGGGCTGCCTTTTTGGGAGGAGAAAGCTAAGTAAGAATTGCTATTGCCAAATGATGTTTTTGATAATGTAAGGAAACACAGGGACCACAAGACCTTTTTGTTTTAGAGTCTGAACGGCTAACTCAGTGCCTTTCGGCACACTTTTGATTGTAGAGGGAAAATGGCATCAGCAAAGAACCTACAGATTATGACACTATTAAAGGTTCTGCAGAGCAGCTTTTCAAGAGATTCTGTGGGGGGCCCCCCAGACCAGCACATTTCAGGACGAAATGCTCCACAGGTGGAAATGCCAAAAACAGAAAACATATTGTCGACTCACATCATTTAGTCAATTTTAGTAGGGCTTTTTCAATGAAAATCAGTGACCGAGTATTGTACGTGCTATACTCTCACTGGGGGATTCTGGTTCCCTGCGGGCCGGGTGAGAGCAGGCAACAGCTGTCACCACCCCTGTTTGACAGGCTGGTTCACCGTCCCAGGCCAGCTCTCCAGCCACACACTGGAAAGAAAAAGAGGGGATGCTTTCTCCTCGGGGTGGAAATGGAGCGGTGAAAGTAGATTGTAAACAAAACACGTGACTCAGTATGTCGAAATGGTGCCCGTGCCAGCTGGGCCTTCACCGACTAACAAGTCAGCGGCTCTGAACAGCCCACCCATTCACCTGCTCACCCTGAGGTTCGGGTCTGGCCAGCAGACGCCCTGTCCGCTGTACTTCTGTGTGCCTGCTCCCTTGAGGTCTATGAGTTGGGAATGTGTGGGGAAACGATGTATACCTGATAGTATTCCCATGACATAAACTGCCAGCAGACTTTCTACTTGTATTTTAACTGTTGAAAAAGACAAAAACAACCCTTTGCTTAGGTCATGTCCAAATTATGGACCATTTTTCCTATGTTTAGAAGTCATTATTTACATTTAATTTTTTTAAAGGAAAAAAACAAAATAAAACAAAAAACACCTTCTGAGGTGTTGATCAAGTCCTCTGTGTAAATGTGTTCTCTCTCCATGCTGCCATTAAGCCAAATCAAAAGCTGTGAATAAAAAATAAAAAAAATGTATTCAAGAATGTGTGTTGATGAGAAAGTGATTTATTTACAGATCAAAGTCTTTGTGTCATGAAGGTACCAAATCTTAAAAAGAATGTCACCTTTTTCCCCCTGTTGTGGAACACAGAGATTGTAAAAAGAAAAAGAAAAAAAGGCCTTTTGTTGCATTTTCTATGTTGGCACGAGGTTTGTCCACTTCTTTTTCATATGTTTGTGTATAAAAAATTCTGTCCATTGTTTACTATGGGATTAGTATTACATTTTGAGGTAAACAAGAGAATTTGTATTGCTTGATAAACTGTTAGCCTGTAAATTTCCAAGGTTTCTTTACCTCAATTAAAGTAATGGACCAATAAATCTATAAAAGATGCTTTCTTTACCTTGAGTCTTATTCTCATTTGTACCCCTTTATAAGCAAAAACATGCATGTCTCTGGTTTTTTCTGTTTCTCTAATGCTTGCCTGCAAAAATCAGGATATATAGAGCGACAGCAACAAAATATAATTGACCAGTTTTTATTCTTCACTTCTTTATAGACTTATCCTCAATTTACTGTCTCCTACATTCACATGTTGGCACTGGCTTGGGAAGATGAAGAAACTACCTTGTGTCTGTAGTGTCACAACGTATGAAACTATGTATGAAACCAGGATTGGCGGGAGGCTGGCAGCCAGCCCTGGAGTTACAGGAAGGACTTCCTCCTACACCATCCATAGCAAAGCACAGCATCACCTTCTGGGACAGGGCCAGTCATTTCCGGATTTCTTTTTGACTGCTTGGATGTAATTTAAAAATCCACAAGGAAAGAAGAAATGTCTGCAGTTCATCAGTGTTACAGTGTGTTGCAAACTAGAGGCCAGAAAGCTAGGTTAAGCTTTCCTAACGAAGACAATGACCTGGAAGTGGACTTAAATGGGTGTTAAATTTGGCTTACTGATAGTAGACGGTCATTAATGTAATGTAGCCATACAAAATGAGGCAGCAAGGTGGGTGGGGAGAGAGATTTGGCATTAAGTTGTTATGTAGCTTTCTTTAGGCAAGTCACATCTTCCAACTCTCGCCACAGCGTAGTTGTGATTTTTTTAATATATAGAATATCATTTATTTCTGCATGTGGTTTGTATCATGAAATTCAGTTTGAGTATTCAGACCAGAAGCACATCTTAGTTACTCCTCGACAATGACCTGGGCATGGACTGAATCAACCTGATTTGACCTCCTCAAATGACCAATTGGGAAAATTTTCTCTCTCAGCCAGGGAATTCTGCTTGTAGGAAACATGAACAGAGTGAGAATTTTTGAGCAATAAATCTATCTAATTGTTGAAATGAAGACAAGGATATGACATTGTCCAAGGAAAAGTAGATGCAATGAAGATCTGACGAGAGCCATGGCTGAGCTAGACAGACTTGCTGTGGACACCAGCTGGGCTGACTGCACCAAGCTAGAAGAGCAGAGGGGTTTGCAGGCTCCACACACTTCTGGGGGCCAGGCTGGCGCCCTCAGGAGCTAGGCCTTGGATTGCCAGTGTTGTGATTTGTGAATGAAGACATGCCTCCCCTGAAGGGTTGCTGATTGGACTAGCATAATGTACAGAAAGCACCTCGCGTCTGCTGGGCACCCATTATAGGATAGACCTTATGGGAAGACCCTTTCTAGAACTTGTTTAAATATGGCCAACTTAGATATTAAGGATATTCCCATGACCATCCTTTCTGGATGCTTTGTCATTGAAAATTAAGAAGTGGGGTATATCTTTTTTGGGGGGAGTAAGGGGGGGGCTTAATACCTTTTCAACTGGTTTCTTTTAAAAGAACAAGTGGAAATAGTATGTGGAAAATTCAATGGGAATAGATTGCAAAAGTGGCGAGAAGTGATAGAAAGGGAGCTGACTGAAGAGATTTCTGTGGTGAGAGAAGGGGCCAGAGATGACTTGGAGACCTCCAGCCTAGGAGCTGGGAGGTGAACTGTGAAATCAATCAAGAAGAGAAAATAAAAGATATTAAAGGATAGGGTGGGAGAAGAGGAATTTGGTTTGGATTTATGTTTGAGGAGATCCAAGTGGAGGTATTGACTGGATTATATCGATAGAAAGAGAGTTCTGGAGTCCATGGAAGTAAACTAGATTGCTTGGGAAGAAAACCAAGGACACGTATTTGAGGGACTCAAGAATTCAGGATGCAGGGAGAGGAGGAGGGAGACTCAAGGACAGATTTTAAGGGGAAAAAGTCAGGATCACAGATTAGAAGTCTGATTTTTAAGCATAAAGGCTTGTGAAAACAGCATTGTTGGGCCCCATCCATAGAGTTTGATTCTGATGGGGCCCAAGCATTGGCATTTTAACAGGTTTCCAGGGATTGCTGATGCTGCTGGCCTAGGAACCACACTCTGAGAACCCCTGGATTAGAACATCCGAAGAAACAATGACCTGGGGAGAATAGAAAAACTTGGAAACTGCTCCTCTAGTGACAGGTGGGGTTGAAAGGGAGCCACTGCTGGGGCTTTGAGAGCCCTACTCAGGTTAAACCCCACAGTGCATGGCAGGATCAATGTGGACAAATAAGGAGATTGTTCTAGATGTTCAGGGCAAGGTTTTCAGGAGCAGGAATGAAGAAGCCAATGATTAGATTCATTCAGGTTGGGGGAATCATTCACAACTGGGGTAGGAGGCAAAGGGTCAAGAGGAATGAGCATATTGGTGAGAGTTTAGATGAGATCATGGCCTTGAACTCACCTTTCCCATCCCACCTCCTGTGTTTATGTTGCTTGTCTCAGTGAGGGGCTCTCCTTTCTTTCTAGTTGCCTGAAACCCAAATCTGAATCATTCTTGCCTCCGTTTATCTCACCATCTACAGTCCATCTATCACCACCTCCTGTTGACCTCTCACTTCCAAATATTTCTTCAAGTCCGCCTACTTTTCTCCATTCTCAGCCTAAGAAGCTATGAGGATGGAGACCCTACTGCAAGGGTCTCTCTGCTTGACTCCTTTCTAAAAATCTTGCTCAGTTCTTCTATCGATTCGTCCTCGATGCTGCCAGAGTGCTCTTTCGGAGATGCGAAGGGAAGCATCCCGTATTCCTGCTTAAGACCTCCCAACAGCTAGCCCTGTTTCTCTAGAGTGAAACTGATTTTTGTTGGAAATACACTCTGTTAGGATAGTACACTCCGTTGGGGCAGGAGCAGTTATATTCTCGCTATATCACAGCATTTAGCATGGTGCCGGGACCTCAGTAGATGCGCCAAAAAGTTTTGTTCCTTCCCTGCAAAGGATCAGAGATACAAAGCTTCTGAGCCCAGATGCTGGGCACAGTAAGTGCGTTCTCTAGCTCTAAGTTTCACCTCAATATAGGAATGTCGTGTCTGTGGTTACAGAGGGAATCTGATCTGGGAAAGACTGAGTCACATACTTACTATGAATGTTGATTTTACCAGGAGGCAAGTGTGCTTTTATATGTGTAAATAAAATAGGCAATAAAAGTACCTTAAAATAAAATGGCTCTTCCTATATTTCCTCTCCTCCTCCCTTCACGTCACTCACTTTGGGAAGTATTGTTGACTGAAAGTATTCAATTCAATATTCTGTTTAAGAAAAGCCCTTGAAAATTGCTTCTTAAAAACAAGAACATTGACAACAAAACTATGCCAAAGCCATGCACCAGAGCTCGGAATCTTTCCTGAGAGTCCACAGCTAGCAAGGCCACAATTAAAAAAAACAACAACTAACTTTTATCCAAGGTTTTATTTTCATTTAAAAAATATTGACTGGTGTTCACTATTGGCAGTTCTTACAAAGCATCCCTTCGACAATCCCCTCAGGCTGTTGAAAATGCACGCTTTGGTTTGAGGAGTTGCTGGAAGCGGTTTGGTTTGAATTCTCACATAGGACTCCTAGCACTGCACCCAGGTGACTAATAAGCTATACCTTGGAGCCCAGAAGACAATTTCTGGAAGAAAAGAGGCTGCTGCCTGAAGCTCCTTGCAGAGTCTGGTATGGCTCTGTGTGCAGTTTGCATTTAACATTGAAGTTCATATTCTACTGCCCACAGAACCTAACCTCTGCCTGTCAGGGGTGTCTGAAAACTGAGACAGGTCTTCTATCACCAGGAAAGTGCATTTCCCACCCACCAGGGACCCCTGAGCCAGAGCAGGTCATCCGAGGCTGACTGGCTGGAACTCGGGTTTCTCAGCAGTAGGTCACCAGTTCCTGGTCCCTCTCTTTGTCTTCAGAGGGATCTGGCCATTGCTGGTGTTTGCAGCTCCTGTGAATCAGCACCTTTTTGTCTCTGTGATGTCTGCATGTTTCAACCATGAGGCTTGTTTATAGGCCACGATGCTGTAAGAATTTACAAGATAAAATTATAAGAGAAGAGCTGGACTGGGGCAAAGATGTTAAGGCATATTTTGGAGGTAGAATCAACGAGACCTGATGGACTGCAGGTAGAGGGAGGAAGAAGAGGGAGGACATTGGTGACTCTGATTTCTGCCCTGGGCAAGTGGTAGAAACGAGATGGAAAAGATTGGAAAAAGAACAGACTCAGGAAGGTGTCAAGAATCCAGAAATTTAAATGATAATTTGAAAATTTGAGAGTACTTTAGATGACTTAGGAAATATGAAGTGAGAAGGCAACTCAGAGCAGAGCCCCAGAGAGTCTTCCATTTGGAGGTTTGTGGAAAAGAATCAATCACAGAGGTGGGAGAACAACCAAGAGTGTGAGGTATTGAGAAAAGTGAGTGACAGTGACAAGTGCCACCCAAGGAAAGAGTGATCAACAGTGTTGGGGGCCATTGAGAAATCATGTGGGGCGAGATTGCAGTGTGTCCACTGGATTCAGCTTTGCGGAAGTCATAGCTTAGTCTTGGTGAGAGCAGCTCGGGGGACTTGAGATGGGGACATAGGTCTGTTGAGGGCTGCAAAGTGAATGCAAGGGGGGACATGAGACAGCATGTGCAGACCAGCCTTTGGAGAACTTGGCTATAAAACAGGAGGAGGAGTGGGGAAAGGAGAAAAAGAAGAAAAGGCGGTGGATCATGTGCCAGTGCTGGTAGGAAGAAATCAGGAGCGAGAAAGCAGCTAACTTGTAGTGATCTCTCTGAGGAGATGGGAGAGGTGGCACCTGGTGACATTTCTAAGAAGCAATGTCATGTAGTAAGTAAGGGGATTGCCTGGGTTCAAATCCTTTTTCTGCCACTTACTAGCTGTGTAACTTTTGGCAAGTTACATAATACTTTAGAGTCTGTATCCTGGCCTGCAATATGGGGATAGAAATAATAGAAATTGCATAGGAGGACTGTTTGAGGATATTAAACTAATTAAAATATATAATATAATTAAAGTAGTGCCTGGCACATATTAAGAACACTTATGTGTTTGCAATTATTTTTTAAAGGGCGGGGGAGAAGAATAGGATGGATGCAAATGAAGGTAGGTTTGTAGATTAACTTTGGGGAAGATGGGACCATTCTCCTCTGATGGATGGTCCCTACCAATAGGTCCCTACCATGGATGGTCTATTTTCTCTACGAAGCACGAGGCAGTAGCCGAGTGTGGGCGGCAGATAGGTAGGGCCAGATGTTTGTTTCTTCAGCATCTCCCTATTGCATGTAAAGAAGAGCAAGCAGGAGAGGGCAGATTCTACGGTGATGTGAAATTGGTACCGGGAACTGCTGGGGCCAAAGTCCCTTCTTGCAAATAGGCTGTCGGCAGCTGTATCCAGGGGCCTCTCCTCCCAGCCTTCTGTCCTCCCTGGCTCTCCTGCTCTGACGTGTCCTCCTGGGTTCTTATGTCCTTGGAATGTAGCTGTTCTTTCTGTGGTTAGAGTTCTACTGGTCTTTCCTGTTGATGTCACGTAATGATTAATGGCACAGCCTCGGCCTGTTCTAGTCATAAAAAGCCTTAATGATTTAAGTCTCAGAAGGCCCAACTTCATATGCAGGCAGGGACATATGTTGGGATGTGTTGTGAGAATTCAAAACTGGGCCACTTCCTGTTTCTCCCACTTGCCTTCACTTATTTTCTGCCCTGCTGCCTACAATGCCATCATTACTGATATGCGCAGCTCCTAGGCACGTCCCTTTAAAATGCAACTCTCCGTCAAATCCCTTGCACCTTGTAGTGGATATTTTTGTTGCATTCCTTTCTCTTCTGCCAGAATTGATACAAGCCTTGAGAGCACCATGCTTTAGGGGAGGAGGGAGAAGGCTTATACAGTCCAGGCTGTGCTGCCCCTAGTCACACTGGCTCCTGACCACTTGAAATGGGACCAGTCCAAATTGAGATGCGCTGTCAGTGTGAAATCCATACCAGATTTCAAAGACTCCATAAAAAAAAAATCTCATTGATTAATTTTATAAACATGTGAAAATGATAGTTTGGATATAGTGGGTTAAATCAAATATGTCATTAAATTTGATTTCACCTGTTGCATTTATCATTGGTAAATGTGACTACTGGAAAGTTCAACATCACCGAGATGGCTTGCATGTATGGCTCATTCCATATTTTCATTGGACAGTGATGGTGTCGGAGACCAGACAATTCCGTGTGGTTCAGTTCGGCGATGACTCGGGCTGGTGCTCTGGCCAAGGGCCTGGAATGCCTGCCTCTCCTTTACTTTTCCAGCTTTTCTCCGGCCTGTTATCTCCCAGACTTTGAGTGCTCTTGTTTTACAAATGAGACATTCTCCCAAAAGACATCAAGGGAATTGTCCAAGTCTTCCCGGGACCTCACATGTCCAGTGGCCATGAAATTTCATGGGCACTAAGCACAGGAGCTGCCAGGTGCCAAGCCCTGGGAGGGCACAGAAGTTTGGAGGGAGTACTCTCCCCTAAACAGGCTAAACCGAAGAGGGCTGAGAGGTTCAAGAGATTTTCTAATCCCGGCTTCTGATGCCAAGAAATGGATGAGGCTCCTATAAATAAAACGCATGACAAAACTGCCAGGAAGTGAGCCAGCCATTCGGGGCCTTCTGTTCATTACTTATGACAATGGGGAATTTCCACATAATTAATGTGGGACAACAGAGCACCTTTTTTTTTTTTTTTCTGAGAGAACCTGCTGAGAACCCACTGAAAATAATGCTTTATGGTAATGGGTTGGAGATTGCCCAACAGCCTTGACCTAAGTCCCAGGGTCCCAACCCAAACAGCGGACGCTGCTTCCGTCTTACCCAATTGGAACGATGGCCAGGAAGGAGAGAAAGGAGGAGAGAGCAAAGCAGGTGCCAACAAACTTTTCCATGGTGACCTGATAGATCTTATTATACATCGTGGATGTCACCACCCAGGTCAGAGTCAGGAACAGTTGCAGCATGACGAACACCTTTCCTGTGGAAGGAACAGGAGTTACCAAGAAGACAGGCTGCTCTCCCTCCCTGTTCCCAGCTAGCTGGGTCCCTGGGAGCTCTCAGGAGACCCCTCCCACTTCCCAGAATTCCCTCTCAGTCTTCATGGCTCATCTCACCAGGACCCCTGCCTCCCTCCTGTGGATCTACCTGTGGCCTGTGTATAGTAGTGCCTTCCTTTGAGTGTAGCTCTCTGGTGACTGATTTTTCTGAGTCTGCCCCACCCTCCTGTTTTCACTACCTCTGCCGTGGACAGACATCAGTGTGTACCTCAAGTACTTGAGATTGCTCCTGGAGCTCTCTTCGTGTGTCTTCTGTGAGTCCAAACCCTGTGCCTCAAGCCAAAGAGCTCTGAGACAGCCCGGGCAGAGAATCTCAGAGAGATTCATGTTACTCACCATACGAGGAGTCCTTGATGAGTTTGGACATTGCTGACCGAATGGTTGTGATGGGGATGAGAGCAAACAGCATGATGCCTCGAGCTGGAAAGAAATCACACGAGAACACTCCTCACTATAGCCCAGCCTATGCCAAGGTGTAAATTAGAATAAAGCAAAGGTCTCATTTAGAATTCTTCCTCCCTGTAGGTCCTATGTGGCTTGCTCTGGAAGACTCATGCCCTCTTGGTAACTAGTTTAAGTTATTCTTTCTAATATGTTACCCACCAGCCATGTGTGGCTACTTAAATAGATTAAAATGAAATAAAATTTTAAATGATGTTCTTTACTTGCACTAGCTACTCAACAACCACATGTGGCTTGTGACTCTCTATCGGACAAAACAGATAGAGAGCATTTTTATCATTGGAGAAAGCTCTACAAGAGCCTTGGTCTGGAGCTCTCTGCTTGTGGTTGTGGGATCTGTGTCTTCTCGTGGAAACTACATTCTGCTTCCTTGAAGGAATTTGTTACATTGGGTGGAGAAAGCATTTACGGAGAATTTTTTGTAAATCCATTTTCAGAAAGTTTTTGCTTGGCCCGAAATGATTTTAATTAAAAGATCTTTTCAGGTGAATTATTCAATGTTTGATCTCTTTAAAATTGGGGCGAAGAAACCAAACCCCATCTCCTCCACTCAAACCCATTCTAGGCACCCCTGATCATTCCTCCTGTAACCTCCTGGAGGATGGATACCACTCTGATAACATTTCATGGACAATGCAGATAACACACTACTCATGACAACACAGATAAACTCAAGCGCACATAATCCCGTCTCCCTTGAACCTCCTCGGTAGCAGATAGAATCCCTGGTGCTGAGCGGGGATCCCCAGTGTCCGCCCCATGACTCAGGGGAGCAGCAGTGTCTTTGCCCTGCCTCTCCAGCAGGCCAGACTCACCAATGTAGAACATGTACGTCTCTTTCACAAAACTCAGCAGGAGAGCTCCCGATCCAAAGGAGACCATCCCGATCATGATCATGGTGGTGTCCCGGAAGCAGCGGGAGAAGACCAGGACGCCCAGGAAGCTGGTGATGAAGATGATGTACCCCGCGGCCATCCCGTAGCCCACCTGCACCTGGTTCCAACTGAGAGGCGCCCTCAGCACAAACAGGGGCATCACGTCCACCGTGCCCACCACGGCCAGGTCGTACATGATGGCGCCCAGGAAGAGCAGGACAATCATGGATTTGGGGGGCTTCGCTTTCCCAGGAGACAGAGGATGCCCCGCCATGCTGGATGCGTCTGGCTGATCGGGATCCAGGGTGCGATATGTGCCAATCGTGCCAGACACTGTGTCCACCGCGGGGAGTGCATTTCGGGGCTTGGCCACCGACTTGGGGACCTTCAGGACCAAGAGGCTGTAGAAGAGGGCGAAAGAGGCGCAGCTCACGCTGCAGGCCGTCAGCACGAGGCCCTGCCAGGCCTTCTCAGACATCTGCTGGAAGAGATGCCCGGAGGCCATGCTCCCACAGAACCCCCCCAGGCCCAGGATCAGGTCGATGAAGATGAGGCGGACCGAGCGGCGGCCCTCCGAGGAGCCAAGGGAGCCCAGGGATATGACTCCGGCCCAGTAGGCGGAGAGGCCTCCGCAGAGTCCGTTCAGTGCCACGGCCCCGTACATCACCTCCACGGGCCAGTCCCACAGCACCTTGAACAGCAGCGCCAGGCGGCACAGCAGGATGCCCAGCAGGGCCACGCAGATGGAGATCTTGCGGTGGAAGCGGTCGCTGAGCCAGCCCAGGAGGTAGGCGGGCAGCAGGGGCGTCAGGCCCGTCACCACGTTGTAGATGATGTAGAAGTTGGAGATGGCTTTCTGCTGCTGGTCCTCCAGAGCCCCCCGGGGCGACGGGCTGGCGCTGTGGTTGGTGACTCTGGCCCCTAAGGACTCCTTCAGCACCAGCAGCAGCCCTGCGTCGTAGAGGGAGCTGGCCACCTGCGTGGAGGCCACCACGGGCTCGATCCAGGTCCTCACCTGGAGGCCAGACAGGTAGCCCCAGCCAGGGCAGGTGGCCTGGGGGCCCATGGCTGATTGGGTGTGTGGGGGGGAGGTAGAGGAGCTTGCTCAGTGCCCGCTGCTCCGGAGCACAAATGTGAGCCGCGCGTTGGGGTGAGCCGGGGAGCCTGGAGAAGGCAGAACCGCTGAGCTGGGCGCGGGGCGCGTGTGACAGCAGCCAGCCCTGCGGCCAAGTGGCCTTCCCGGCCGCGGCCCCGCCTCCCCGGCCCCAGAAAGGCCGCGCTCCGCCCCCGCCCCCGCCCCCGCCCCTGGAGCTCGGCTGGCACCCGCCCAGGGCAGCCTGGCACAGAGGAGCGCACAGCGCGTCCCCACCTGTGGCCGCGCACACGCTGCTCCAGGGAGTGAGGCCGCCTGACTAGGCGCCGATTTGGGATTTCCCCACAGCCAGGCGTGCGGGCACCTCCCGAGGGTCGCTGAGCATCTCCTAGGCCAGGGCTTGTGACTGCAGGAGCTGAGAGCCCCCAGGCTGCCTCGCTTCCGCCTGTAAGCACGCACTTCTGCAAAGAGGGCCCGGGTGGCAGGTGGTGCAGGGGTGACAGTATGTGCGAGGGGTGCGATCATATGTGCCCGTCGTGGAGAGCTGCCCAGGAATGGAGTCAAAATGCAAACCTCTTCCCCTGTGGGCTTAACCCTGACGCAGCCTGGCAGCGTGGATGAGCCGGAGCCCAGAGTCGCACATGGGAAGCTCAAGTCTGCAGGGAGAGTTTATAAAGCCACATGGATAATGTACCTCTGGGGGTAGGGACTAAATCTAAACGGGTTTCTATAGAAATGGGTCCTTTAGACAATGACTGGTTTGGCTCAGTGGATAGAGCTTCGGCCTGCGGACTGAAGGGTCCCAGGTTCAATTCAGGTCAAGGGCATGTACCTTGGTTGCGGGCAGGTCCCCAGTAAGGCGTGTGCAGGAGGCAGTTGATCAATGTTTCTCTCTCATCGATGTTTCTAACTCTCTATTCCTCGCTCCCTTCCTCTCTGTAAAAAATTAAGAAAACATATAAAAATGTTTTAAAAAGAAAAAAGAAAGAAATGTGTCCTTTAGGTAGTTTTTAGGTGAGCCACACCATCTTCTTTACCCCTCCCTGTCCTTAGGCAGCCCCCTGTGTCCAGGCCCAGACAACTGTGCCTTCTGCAAAGAGAAAGACCCACTTAGTCACACCCCCCTTCAGACGTGCCTGGTGGAGATGGCCCAGCAGTTCCCTCAAAGCTCCCTTCCTTCCTTCCCTCTTCCTCCCCCTCACCTGGGCCCACCTTGGGAGGAACCGGTTTCACCTGACCCGTGCCTAGCTCTCCCACTCCATTCCTAACCCTGTTTGTCCAGAGGCTGCAGCAAGTAGCCCAACCAGCCTGTTCCTGTGAGGGGCAGAGGCGCCGGGGGATAGGGAGGTGATGGGGGAAGATGGTACTATACTCAGATGGCCATGAGAGCAAGCAGCCTGGACCAGAGAGCCCACTTTGCTCATTTTAATCAAGGAGCCTGGCTATTCTTGGGGCTGCAGACACTAGAGGGCAGCCTTCATCCTCTCTGGGAGGGTCCGTGGTGTCTCAGTTCTTCCCACCCCTGAGAGTCACAGGAGATACAGGACAAGTCTAATGGGATTATGGGAGCGGCTCACTGTGATACTAGCCAGCCCTGGGACCCTCCAAGCCTGAATCCTCTGACCCAGAAATGAACTAGACCCAGGCAGTGGATATTTCTCCCAGTCTAGGCTACTCTGGTTTGGAGTGTGTTTTCATCATGTCTCTACTACCCCCTCTGTCTCTGAATGCAGGTCCCAATTGAGTTAGTACTTGGCCATCCTCTGTGGCTTAGGGTACTGTCAGGGTATATATATAGCCCAGGAGCCAAGTTGAACCCTGACTCTATTGCTTTAGTCTGTAGCTCAAGGTTGACTTTATTAAAATGCAAAGGTTAAACTCTCTTATCTTTTACATTGATGAAGCCATATATTTGAAGATAAAGAAACAAAAAAATAATAATGTTTTTAAGCACCTAACATTTACTGAGCCCTTATTATGCACTAGCAAAGCAATTTAATCCTCCTGAGAAGTCTTATTTTATTTTTAGAGAGAAAGGAAGGAAGAGGGAGAGAGAAGGAGAGGGAGAGAGAGAGAGAGAGAGAGAAACATCAATTGGCTATCTCCTGCATGACTCCTATCAGAGATTGGGCCCAAAACCTGGGCATTTGCCCTGACCGGGAATTGAACCACAACCTTTCAGTGCACAGGATGATACTCAACCAACTGAGCCACACCCAAGAAGCCTCTCATTTTCTGGGTTGAGAAACTGAAGCCAGTAAGCTTAAGTAATTTGCACAAGATCACAAAGCCAGTAAATTGGGGAACCAGTATTTGGTACCAGTCTTTAAATGCCTGTGGCTATGGGAAATCTTATTTAAGGGTGTCTCTCAACCAACATAGGAATGTGGAAAGGAGAAGAGACAGCTTCATCATTTTGAAATTATCAATGATCAACAATGTGTTGCATAAATGGAGAGGAACAAGATGAATGGATGGAAGCTTGTTTATTGATTGTACATCCCAGGCACTTTACATTCTTTCATTTTATTAATAGCCCCCAAATTCAATTTAGAAAGGAGTAGTCTTTGTTGGGAAAATACCTTTGATCGGTTAGAAGGTGAAATGCCTTGGCCTTGATTTCAGCTGTGGAGGGGGCTCCAGAGAGGGGGTGGAACCTCTGTTTCTGAGTCAGAGGAAATTGTCTGATGTGTTAGAGAGGGAGGAGTGGTAGAGAGAGCAGAGGAGGGAGACGGGAGAGGGGGAGGGAAAGAGGTGTGGGGAGGAGGACTGTTGGTGGGAAGGGCCAAGACAGGAACCCTGGTATCAGAGTGCTCAGAGGGACCTCAGAAGGATAGCAATGTCTCATACGGGTTTTGAACAGCTGGTGGAGTCATGTGTAGATGCATCCTTCCTGAGGCTTCTCCCTGCCTTCTCAATTCTTTAGTAGAGTCTGCTCAGGAAAGGTTTGTGGGCTTTTTTTATTTTTCATTTTGGAGGATGTCAGTGAAGCAGCTGTGATTCGTGTCTGGATTGACATATGCTGAGCAGAGATCATAAGGAAACAAATGGAAGAGGAGGCCACAGGACACAAAGATTTGCTGAAATCTTAGATGGGCTTAGGACTGTCACAGCGGTGGACAGGGAGAGTTAAGCCATCTGAGCCAGATCTTAACGGCCAAAGAAACCCCTACCGCTGATGTGCAGGCTATACTGATCTAGAAGGTCTTGTTCTTTTTATTGTTAATATTTTAGGAGTTGGGATCAGCCTTTCCCCGAGACATTGCAATGTGAGGAAAATAAGATACCTTCCGAAATATAGATCTATACCTTCTGAAACATACATATATACTAGAAGAAAGCAAAGATATAAAACTCATCCTAGGACATGGGACAAACCCTCTCAGTACCACTTCTTCCAAGGGTTTCCCAGTGGCTGGCTCATCACCACAGCAAGAGTCAGCCCAAGTCCTCTTGCCTGATCACAACAGTCTTCTGGTTTTTATTTTGCTTCTCAAAAACAGTTGTGTGCGCACACACACACACAGACAATGTGATAGTTACTTGGATACACCAAAAATTTTTCTCACGGTAACTTAGTAAGTTGGCATTCTGATTATATTTCATCTACCTGTCTGATTTGATTAATGTCATGTGAGCTTCTGTCTGGAAAATGGCTTCCCTCTCCATGTGATGATGAAATGAAGTTGTTGTTTTTATTTTGTTAGACTGAGAATGACACCCTATCTATAAGTTTATCAAAATGATTACTGTTACACATTGATACTCTTGGGTGATTGTTTCATTGGCCTTTCCCCCTTGGGGTGGCACCCTAACATTACCCAATTTTACAGATGAGGAAACTAAGACTCAGGGTAGCTAAATAATTTGCACAAGGTTCACACAGAGCCAAGATTCAAATCTAGGTTGGTGACTTCCGAGTGTATGTTATTTTCACAATGCTCCACTTTTTACGTAAGTGAACAGAAGAGATATGTTTTATAAAGGCATTTGTTTGTTAAATACTTTCCATCAAATACTGTGAGCTTATTCCTAAGATATATTCAAATAAAGTGGTTCATTTATTCATTCATTCATAGTATAATTTACTATCCATTTATCTATCCATCTATTTACAGGAATATTTTTAGTATCAGGCCTAGGGACCAGGGATACAAACCTCTTTGCCCTCGGAGATCTTGTAGTCTGCCCTAGCCGGTGTTGCTCAGTGGTTAAATTGTCGGCCTGAGCACCAAAAGATCACTGGTTTGATTACCAGTCAAGGGCATGTACCTGGGTTGCTGTTTTGATCCTCAGCTCCAATTAGGTGCATGGGGTAAGCAACCAATTAAAGTGTCTCTCTCACATCAATGTCTCTCTCAACCTCTCTCTCTCTGCTCCTCCCTTACTCTCTTCTATTCTCTCTAAAAGTCAATGAAAAAACAAAACAAAAAACCATCCTCCAGTGAGGATTAACAGCACAAAAAGTTACCAAAAGTCACTTGTACTAACACTCCAACTTCTGTTCTACATGTGAAGTCACTGATGCCAGGCCATGCCTCCTCTTGCATCAAAGACTGGCTTTGTGGGATTCCTCTCCACCCCAGTCTCTGCTACCAACTTGAATAACCTCATGAACAACCTGCTCAACACTGTAGGAGAAGAAAGACATCTGTTGTTTTCGCTGGCCAGCACACATTGATTCTTCTGGTAATACCGTGACACCCATTTTTGTTTTGATGAACATCCTCCAAGTGGATATGAGACTCAGGCCTGACCAATCCCAGCAATGGGTGCCTGTGATCACAGTGATTGGTTCAAAGATGGGAATGTGACCCAAATTTGGACCAGTCAGAATAAGGCCCAGGATTTAAGCTTAGTTAGGCTTACTATATTCTTTTCTACTCTGACTTGGACTGATGAGGATGAAAGCTTGGAGTTGCTGGAAACTGTTTTGCTACCGCTAGAGAGGAGCTTATCAGATCAGAGAGCACACATAGAACAGAGGAGCTGAAAGATGGAGAGAGTCCAGATCCTAATGACATCATGAGAGCTGTGCCTGAAGCTAAATTATCCCTTGACTTTTTAATAACAAAGCCGTCTACATTTCCTTCCCAAGTTTAATTTGGGTTTTCTATCAATTGCAAATAAAAGAGATTTGATG